GCCTGGCGTGCCCGTGCATGCACATGCCGACCCGCCGCGCCTCGGCCTGGCGCGTGCCGCAGGAACCTGTCGTGGCCCGAGGGCGGCGAGGTGTCGGCGGAGTGCCGCGACCTCGTGGAGCGCCTGCTGCAGCTGGAGCCCAAGCAGCGGCTGGGGCACAGGTGCGGCTGGCACGCCGGGGTGGCCGGCGGCGGCGGGCTGAAGCAGCGACGGCAGCCGCCCCGCCACGTGTCGCTGTCGTGTACTCCTGGCTGCCGCCTGCCTGCTGCCCCCGGCTGCTGCCCCCGCCGCACGCCTGCTCACCGCCGCGCCCGCCGCCTGGCTGCCTGCCCGCGCCGGGCGCAGGGGCGCGGGGGAGGTGAAGCTGCACCCGTGGTTTGCGGGGGTGGACTGGGCCAGCCTGGCGCGCCAGAAGGTGGCCTTTGTGCCGCAGCCCGACTGCGACACAGACACTTCCTACTTTTCCTCCAAGCCCGTCTCCCAGCGCTCCCTGGCACTGGACTTGGACAGCAGCAGGGGAGAGCTGGACCTGGCGGCGGTGACGGCGGCCGTGGGCGCAGCCGCCGCCGCCGCCGGCGCGGGCGCGCCGCTGAGCCCCGCCGCCTCCCTGGCCTCCAGTCGCAGCCAGAGCCGGGGCGGCAGCCGGCGGCCCAGCGCGCGGCGGCGCAGCCTGCGGCAGGCACTGGCGGAGCCGTCGGGCGCGTCGCTGAGCGAGCTGCGGGGCCTGCGGGGCGCCACGCTGAGCCACAGCAGCGGCGCCTCCGCCGCCAGCGCCGCCTCGCTGGCGGGCGGCGACGCCATGGCGGTGGACGCGTCGGGCGGCAGCGTGGTGCGCGCCGCGGCAGACCTGCTGCGCCAGCAGTCCACCGCGGGCCAGCAGGCGCAGGCGCAGGCGCAGGCGCATGCCTGGCTGCGGCACGCCGCCCAGCAGCCGTCGCGCAGCGCCACCGTGCTGAGCGGCGGCAGCGAGCTGCCGGAGGGGGAGCCCCGGGGGCCGCTGTCGGCAGACGACGAGGAGCTGGCGAGCCCCTCAGAGGCGGCCGCCGCCACCGAGGACGGCGGCGAGGCCGCCTCCGCCTGCATGGGGCGCTACGGCGGCGCCGCCTCGCCCTCGGCCAGCAGCTGCGGCAGCCCCATGGGCAGCGACGGCGGCGGCTACAGCAGCGGCGGCGAGGGCGGCGGCAGCGAGGCCAGCAGCGAGGCCAGCGGCAGCCACCCGCACTTCCGCAACTTCTCCTTCAAGAACCTCGACATGCTGGCGGAGCAGAACCTGCAGGCCCTCAGGTGGGGCGCGCCGCGCGGCGGTGGCGCCGGGGTGGTGTGCGTGCCCGCGCCGGGGCGGCGTGCTGCGCCGTGCTGTGTGTTGCCGCGCAGCGCTGAGCCTCCCCGCCCGGTCCTGTCTCACGCTCACCCGCCTTGCCTGTGCCGCACCCGCCACCCCCACACCCGCCCCCGCAGGGATCAGTACGAGGAGGAGTTCTCCGAGTTTGACCGGCCGCCAGACCTCAACGCCCTGCGCTCGCTCACCCCCTCACCGGAGCGCCCGCCGCCACCCACGTAGCGCCACCGCCGCGCCAGCTGAAAGATGCTGGCCCGCACACACCCCTCCCCCCTCTTCTCTCCCCTCCCAACTCTTATTGTCACCTCATGAATTGTATTTCCTGCTCCTCACGGTTTTGACCTGTTGCCCCGCCCAAGCACTCCGCACTGCGAGCCAGCTTCTTCTGCTTCTATGCTTCCTCGTCTTCGCTGCGCTGCACCCTGCTCTGCTCCCAACTGACCCATCCTGCGCTTTCGCCTGACGCTGCTTTACCATCCAAACTTGCTTCAAATGACATTCAACACACCACACCACAGCAGGCAGAAATCAACAGGGTGCATGAGCACATGGTTGCCTCTACTCGGCGTCCTCTCCAGCCGAGCGGCTGGTGCGGTACTGGCGCTTTGCCCTACCCGCTGCCGCGCCTGGGGCCGGGTCAGCACCGGCGGCGCGCATCTCGGCATCCGCCCCCGCCTCTGCCGCCTCTGCCTCCTCCAGCTCCACACAGATGGCTGCAGGCACCTGCGGCCCCGCCCTCTTGGAAGTTGGTGGGCCACCCGCCACGGCAGCGTGGCCGGCAGGCGCCGCCCCTGCAGCTTCCCCGGCCCGCCGCTGCCGCGACACAAACTGGATGGAGCCTGGCGGCCCCACCCACCGCTCCGCCTCCTGCGGCTGTGCCTCCACATCCGCGGCCGCAGGCACCTGCTGCCGCTGGTTCTGCTGCCCGTCTGCCAGCTGTGCCACGCCGCCGCCCACCACCAGCGGCTCGTCGAGCGTGTAGCACGTGTACTTGTCTGGGTGCCTCACATAGTCGGGCACCCGGCTGCCGCTGCCATCGCCCCACGGCTGGCTGGGTGGCCGGGCCGTGCTCGGAGGCTCCGCAACGCCCTCCTGAAACCTGACCCTCCGCTTCTTCTCAGGACTGGCTGCGGGGGCAGCGGCGGCAGTGCCTGGAAGCGCCGCCTCCTCCACCTCCATTCCGCTGGGCTGCTCCGCGTCGTCCCCAGCAGCAGCGCCCACCGCCCTCTGCCGCATGCGCTCCTCATAGATGTTGTCGTCTAGCACCTGCTGGCGGGGTGATCAAGAGGAAACAACTGAGGCATTTGTTTCACAGAGGGCCAAGATGCCGGCGGTCATGGGGTGGGCTGGCTCAAGCGGCAGCACCACCACCGCACCTGCGTGTCGCGGGGCGGCAGGCCCTCGCCAGCGTGGCGCGAGATGTTGCCCATGGCCACCTCATCCACCTCGTTGTACTCCTCCTCTGCATCCAGCTGCCGGCAGAAGGCGGTGGAGGGCCTGCAGAGAAACATGAGGGACTTGGCGTGAGCGCTTGGCGGCGCTGCACATCGGCGGCCGCCGCGTCTGTTCTGCCCAGCCAGCACTCACCGGAACCCCTCCTCATCGGGCTCGTCCTCCTCAACAAGCGCCTGGGCGAGCCCTGCAAAGCGCAGGAGTGGGAACACAGCTCGCTGTCGACAACTAGCACAGCACGTGGCGGTGGGCGGGTGGCTGGCGGCAAGCCCGGTGGCAGGCGTCCAAGCAGTTTCATCCAAAGCGGCAGGCGTGTTTTTGTCCAGCAGAGCTCACCCGGCACGGCCTCTCTCCTCGTTTTCTCCTCCCACTCCTCATCGCTGCTGTTGCGATCCTGCACGGCCCCTGCCCGAAATACTTGTTGTTCCGTGGGCGTCCATGCGGGCTGCTGGCTTGATGCCAACGACCCGAACGTGGCTTCGAGCCTTGCTTGCAAGGAAGCCATTCTGCCCAGAAGATGAGCGCGAGGGTGACGGTGAACTACCTGGTGCGTGGGTAGGTCAACACAGGATAGCAGCTATGGCCCAGAGGACGGAAGAAACTCAGGACGCCACCGTTGCCTAGTCAGCGGCACGCTGCGGCACAGCGCGCTGCCGCACTTCCGCCCCCAACATACTCTTGATCAGCGGCTCCAGTGGTGTCACAGCAGGAGATGATAACAATGGGAAGGGGCATGCATTCAAAGCGGTGGGAAAGCTGGTTGGTGTCGCCGCCTTCTCGTCCGTCACCGTTGTGCAGCCGCCGCCTTGCTCCGCACCACCTTCTGCAGCACCCGCACCTTCTCCGCCAGCTGCTTGTTCTCCTTATTGCGTTCCAGAGCCTGCTGGTAGCTCTGCAGTGCCTGTGAAGGCAGCAGCGGGTCCGCAGCAGTGGGTTGCGCTGAGTTGCCACCGATGCTCTTCACAGGACGGGTTGTGCGCGCTCGTTTCGCCTTGCTACCCATTTGGCATCAGTCAGCACTGATCAGCACACAGAGGCGCCTGGCACCACGATGCCGCCCACCCCAAGCTGCACCCACCTCATCCAGCCGGTCGAGCGCCTCCAGCACCGCCGCCCTTCGGAAGTAGCCCTTGTCCCAGTCGGTCCTCAGCCGGATGCACTCCTCCGCATCCGCCAGCGCCTTGGTGGTCTTGCTGAGCTGCAGCAGTGCTGCGCTCCTGTTGCTGCACAAGGCAAGGCAGGCGGTGGGGGCACGGCGGGAGCATGGCGGACGCTTTGTGAGACCGCCTGGAACAACTGTGCGTATCAACATGCAGAACATTTCAGCAGGTCAGTCGGGTGCCCCAGACACTAGACAACCTGGCTGTGGGGCCGCCCATGCGCCACTGTGACCTTCCACAACACAGCCCTGGCTGCCAACCAGCGTGCCACCTGAACAGAACGGCGTTGCCAGGGTCGGCTTTCAGGCCCTGCGTGTAAAGCGCCGCTGCTTTCAGGTGGTTGCCGCTGCGGTGCTCCACATTTCCTTGGTCCTTAAACCGGTCTGCCGCCGCTGCTGCCTCTGTGCTCCCTGCCACTGCCTCTGGGGCCGCTGCCGCCTCTGCGCCGCCATTGGCGGCGTCTGCCGATCCGCTGCTTGTCATGATGGTGCGGGGCCGCCTGCTGCTCCGGCTCCTCTCACAATTTGACTGCGTCAGGGAGCGCCGGCACTGCTGGGGTAGCTTGTGCGACAAGGCGATGCCCAGTCAAAGCAAGATGGCACAAGAGAGCTTGGAGGGGCGGGTGGCCTGCACCGAGAGTGGGGCAGCTGGTGATGATTAACAAGGCAAGCAGAATGGGCTGCAGGAGGCAGAACAAGCGAGCATGTACTGTGCTGCACTGCCGGCGGGCCGCAGCTTGCCACAGGGCGCCATCTCGGCGCTGTCTGCATCTTCTTCATTCCCTGGGTGCGCTGTGCTGCACGTTGAGTGATTTGCTAGGGCCTGCGAACACCGCTGTTTAAACGGGTCTGATCGGTGCTCTCAGCAGGCGCCATTGGCACCTGCAGCAGCCGCTGCAGCCAGTTGTGATGATGGAGGTGGAGGTTGCCGGGCTGGAGGCCCCGCCACAGCTCAAGTGCGCCCTGACGCCAGCCCGCGCCCACACCCCCCCTTTCTGCTTGCCCGTGTGACCGTGAAAAGCCAGGTGCAGCCACCGGCACGACCCTCCATCACTCCTCCCACCCACGCAGAGGCACGTACGACGAGCTGCTGGCGGCACCGGCCAGCGACGATGCGGCGGCTCCCACCGGCACCGTTGTGCGCATGGCGGCGTCCTTCACGCCCAAGGACAACCGCTTCCTGCTGAAGAACCGCGACTACGACCGCCAATACTCGCAGCTGTACTACTACCGCCTGGAGCAGATGCGCAAGCACGCGGAAGAGGCCGCGCAACGTGCCTGGCCCGGCATCCAAGGTGCGGCCTGGGGTGGCCTTGGCTTAGCGCCAGCAGGCCCTGCCCTGCCGGCCCGGCTGGCACCAGCTGCTGCTTTTGGGGGGTTTGTACCGTGGCAGTTATTCCTGTTGGAGGCGCGTCCTGTGCCCAGCGGCCGGCCGACACCTCTGGCCGCGCCCTTGCCACCTGCCTGCCGCAGTGGTGCACATCCTGTCTGTGCCCGAGGAGGGCGAGGTGGCCATCGCGGGCACGCTGTACAAGGAGATGGCGCTGAAGCCCAGCATCCTGGATGAGTACGTCAAGGACCGAACCATGAGCCAGCAGCTGGGCCGCGCGCGCTTCACGCAGCCAGACGACAGGTGCGCGGGACATGGGCTGGGCGCTCAGCAGGGCCGCATGGGATGAGATGCTGCGGCCATGCGTGCACCCTGCGGGCCGCAAGCATGCCAGCCCCACCTGCGCAGCTTTACTGCTTGGCCGTGCCTCCGTGCCGCACGGTGGCTCCTCACGGCTGGAACATGCCTGCCTGCCCCGCCCCGCCCTGCCTGGCCTGCAGGCTGATCCTTGAGGATGAGGGCGCTCGCCTGGCGCTGTGCGGCGACAAGCTGCCAGTGGGGGAGTGCGTGACGGGCGTGGTGGCAGCTGTGCGCGGTCATGTGCTGCCCAACGGCGATTTTGAGGCCTTGGACTTGTGCTATGCGGGGCTGCCACCACAGGCGCCGCTGCCAGCGGTGGGCGAGGACAAGTGAGTGGGCAGGAGGGTGGGAGGAAGGTTGATGGGCAAGCCATGTTGAAGGTTGATGAAGCAAGCCAGCCCACGCCGTTCATTCGCCGGCTTTGACATGAGCCGCTAGCGTGGTTCTGACCGCAGGTATGTGGCGCTTGTGTCGGGGCTGGGCGTGGGTGACGGCGAGAGCAGCCCGCTGCGCCTGGAGCTTCTTGTTGACTACCTGAGCGGGCTGCTGGGCGGGGAGCAGGAGCGGGGGCAGGTGGTGGGGCGCATCGCTCGTGTCGTGGTGGCAGGCGGCCTGCTGAAGAGCAACGCCGACTTGAGCCAGCCCACCGCCTACAGCAGCGTGCGGCAGCAGGCGGCGGCGCTGGGGCCTGTGAGGTGGGTTCTGAGGTCTTGCTGCGTCATGCTGCCCTCGCTTTCCATTTTGCTCCATGCTTCCTGCCTCCTACTCTCCGCTTCTCCCTCACACAACCCGCAGGGATGTGGACATGGCGCTGACGGAGCTGGCCGCTGCGGTGCCACTGGGCATCATGCCGGGTGCGGGCGACCCAGCCAACTACACGCTGCCCCAGCAGCCGCTGCACCGCTGCATGTTCCCGGGCGCCGCCGCCTACTCCACGCTGCACCGCGCCACCAACCCTCACGAGTTTGAGCTGGATGGCGTCACCTTCCTGGGCACCTCGGGGCAGAATGTGGACGACGTGTGCAGGTGGGGTGGCGGTGTGGGGCTGTGGGCTGGGGTGGGGGTGGTGTGCTGGGGAGCCGCCCGCTCGCTACCCTCCACCACCAGCTGCTTTTCTCCGCTTCCAACCCACCTGCCTCTGCTCCCACCCCACCCCCTGGCCCCAGGTACTCTGAGCTGGAGGACCGCGTGACCATCCTGGAGAAGCTGCTGCGGTGGCGCCACCTGGCGCCCACCGCCCCCGACACCCTGGCCGCATACCCCTACTTCAACAACGACCCGTTCATCCTGCGTTCCACCCCCCACGTGCTGTTTGCGGGCGGGCAGCCGCAGTTTGGGACGGCGCTGGTGGAGGAGGAGGCGGGCGGCGCGGCGTGCCGCGTCGTGGCGGTGCCCAACTTCTGCACCACCGGCTGCGTGGTGCTGGTCAACCTGGCCACCCTGTATTGCCAGCCCATTTACTTTGACGCCTTGCAAGACTGAGCACTGTTCAAGGCAGTTGGGCCGGGCCCGGCCGGGGGGCGACAGGTCGGCGCCAAGTCAGTTAAATGCAGGCAGGCGAAGGGCTGACCCCACCGCGTGCCCCCCGAGGCACGCAGATGTCTCACAACTTCCACACTGGGTCAAAGTGGCCTGAGATGCCGTAGGTGGTGGTCTCGTTGGAGGAGAGGATGATGAGAGGGAACAGCTCGGTGGCATCCAGCTGGCCCTGTGACTCCAAGCTGTCCAGCAGCGCCTGCTTGGAGAAGACTGCAGGGGGTAAGAGAGGGCACGGTGGGGTGGGCTTCAAGGCGAGAGTCGGGGTAGGGACATCAAGTGGGACACACAGCGCATAGCCATAGCCAGCGCGGACGTTAAACCAGGCGAAATGGCCGGCCAGTGCAGCATAGCCTGGCACGCCTGGCCTTCGCACTCACTTCCTTGCGAGCCGCCGTAGCTGGCATCTTCCCAAATGAAGTCGTTGAGGGTGATGGCAGTCTCGATGGCGTCATCCTTGACAAACACCAGGGACACCGACTCGGAGGTGTTCAGGTTGTCTGCAGCAGGAGGCAGAGGGTGGGCGTGGGCCACGACAGTGGGAGGCTTGCCCATCTCAGCGCACTGTGGCGCAGTGCAACCACAGGGGATCCACAAACTCCGCACCCCACCAGGCCGCTGGCCCACCTGTGAGGAAGATGTTGTAGAGGAAGTTGCCGTCCTCGGTGTCCACCACCGACAGCGTGAACTGGGTGGAGGCGTTGCGGGGCAGGCTAGGTGGCCAGGTGATGTCCTGGGTGACATTAAAGGTGAAAGGGTCCACGCTGTCATTGCCCTGAAGGTCTGCCAGGAAGAAGACATCATCGGTGGGCTGCAGCTCGTCTTCCACTGCTATGTCAGTGAAGCGCCCCGCCAGCGCGCCGCTGGGGCTCGTCAGCACCGCCCATCTGCAGCGGGGGCAGCACACAGGGGAACTTGCTGGATGCTTGCTGGTAGCAGCTGTGAGGGCTTGCAACACCCGCCCACCCAGTCGCCACGGAGGCAAGTGCTGCTCACAACTCGTCAGTCTCGTTTAGGTTGCCTGAGATGGGCTCCAGGCCGAGGGCCGTGAGGGCATCGTTGACATCAGTGAAGTTGAAGGCTGCGGGGGCAGCAGGGGAGCGACATGAGGGCAGCAGCTGTGTGGGGTGTGGAGTGGGCGCCATGAAGGGCAGCAGGTGTGGTGTGTGTGGGTTGGGCGCCATGAAGGGCAGCAGCTGGCATGGAGGGGGTGGGCACCACATCAGCTCAGCGGCAGGCTACATGCGAGGCACTGCAACAACACTCACTGCCAAAGGGTTCCAAAAAGTCGGTGGCCAGGGTGAGGAGGGAGGAGAAGGAGGTTTCGCCCTCTTCATAGTAGAGCTCCAGCGAGGTGAAGTTGAGGAGGCTGGCATCTGCAGCGCCGGGCAGGGCAGCGAGGTTGGGCCTGGTGTTGGTCGGCTGCGCCGTGGGGCAAGGTGCCGCCTGCTGGAGGCAGGCCCAATGAAGTGCGCAAGCAGCCATGGCAGGCAGCAGGCTGCCCCGCAGCAAGGCCCCCCATGCATTCGGGGGATGAAGGCCTCACCTGAGTTGGAGTTGAGGTCCCAATGAAACTGCTCGTTATCGGCGTAAGTGAGGGTGAGGAAGGAGGTAGCGCCAGCGGGGGCCTGCACCAGGGTGCAACAGAGCACGGGGCCGGGTGAGGGCTAAGGGGGGGCTGGGGGGGAAGGATGCAAAAGGGTGGTTGGCATGGCAAGCAGGCTGGCTTGAGGGCATTCCCGCATGCATAAGGCAGAGCAGGGCACACCGGTTCCAGCCCCAAGCCGGCGGGAACTTTGCTGCCGTCCAGCTCGTTTACGTAACCATAATCCACCAGCGGATAGGGTACATCATACTGAGCTGCCTGCGACAGCACGGCATAATTGGGAATGGACTGCTTGGGTATGTTATCCCCTTTACCCCAGCGCCGCCGCCGGCGGCGCCGGCAGACGACATGCACGGCATGCAAGGGGGTCGGTCCCTTTGTAAAGACTTGTTCACAAGCCGCACGTGCACTTTGAAGGCTGGGCATAAGGCAGCCAGCGTTCTTACCGCCAGGCCCAGGCTGGCCAGCCACAGGGCGCATGCAGCCAGGTGATGGGCTGAGAGTATCATCACACGGAACCCTGCTCGGACCCAGGCGGCGGCAACAGAAGCGTTTAGGGGCCCTGTCGCGGGGGGGGGGGGGGGGGGGGGGGGGGGGGGGG